CTTTCGTTGATTGCGACGTGTCATTGCTAAAGGTGGTCAATAAGATGCGCAGCAAAAGTTCATTTTCCGCTTGCCAGACTGCATAATCACGTTCATTGGCGTCGTAGTAAAAAAAACTACGCTCAACTCCCATGGGAGAGTAAAGCCCCAGAGACCCCCTTGGCTGCGCTCATACTCACAAGAATACAAATTTAGACCCTTGACCCTAACCTTAAGTTCGGCGACTCACTGAGCTCGGATGGATATCGCAGGTCTAGATGGCCTTAAAAATCTGCAAATTACAAAGTATGAGGTACAACGCACAAACCTCAGCAACATGGCGATGGGTACCCACTACATCTGCATGCATTCGTGGGTGGAGCGTGCAGTGTGCAAGTATGGCAGCAGCCATGCCAGCCATCATTGAAATCAACATTATTTTTGTAGTTTTCCACCGAGAGATGTCCGCTCTTGAAGCTTTACCACGCCATTTTCCAAAACACTGCCACCGCTGCCCACAATAGATATCATTCATAACCTTGCTGCCTACCTGCACGCTGGGCTACAAAGCTTGCACATTAGCCCTACTGGGTCTCCTCACATCAAACAGGCTGCAGAGCTTTTCACATCCCGTAGTCCGCAGTCCCCACATGCTGCCCACATTACCACGTGACAACTTGAAAATAAAACGAGCGAGTCTCAACGAAGTCATGTGTTGTACCATGCAAATTACCATCTATGCTTCAAGTTTCCAATCTACTGCTGGCACGGATTCTCCGGCTGGATGTTGGTGGTGGTGGTAGTTTGGTATTTTAGTGAGCATCGGCTGCAAATGATCATACAGCGCCCATAACTGTTGTGCGATGCAGCAGAGTTGTGATCCAAACTGGTGGTTGATATGCTAAAAATAAGCAACCAAAAGACTGAGACACGCATGGCGTGAGGGCAAAAACATCACAGTTAAATATACGGAAGAGAAAAACCGAAAATTGTCGAGCTTCGAAAACGCTAGACTCATCATCTAAGATGTCGGCTGGTGTAACGTTTGGGCGTTCCGTCCCAAAAATTAGGCCAGGACAAGCGATCAGCACGTGATGCACAGTTAGCAGGCTGCCGCATCAAAAGCAGCGTTGGCTATCACGGCTATCATCAGTAAATAGCAGATGACGGTGGGGCTGCAGGAGCGTGTCCTATGCGTAGGCTGCAAAGAGCAGCTTCATCTCTTCTTTCTTTGTGGAAAGACGACCGCCCGCAGTACGATGCGCGATTTGACGACCCTCAGCTTGTTGCTACGCGAATCCCAGTGGTACTGCTCTAGCTTCCGCATAACAGATAAAGAGTACTGGACACATGTCCTTGGCAAGCAGCGGTTGTAATGTGGTATGCGCGTCCCTTGCGTAGTGCGTTTGGGTGCTGCGTCGGCGAGATCATTTCCGGTGATCCCCACGTGGCTTGGGATTCAACATAATGCGACCGTTTTTTCCCGCCCAATTCAGTGAAATAGGACGAGAAAGAATACCTCCAACAAACGGGTTAGAAAGACACGAGCCAAAGTTAGCCCCCTCCCCCCCAAAAAAAATCGCTCAATGAGTCACACAGGTTCAAACGTAAATAATGCTGCCAGGTTCTATAAAACAGAGAGGTTTGATGATGCCTATCAGTTCCATGAGTAGACGGATGTATTGGCATGTAGCGTGAATGAGAGTGTTACGGGGTCCACGCACCAAGGCACAACCTACGCTTGCATCCGTTTTGGAACCGTATGTGCAAGCTGTCGTGCAGCTGTGAAAGGAAGGTAGGTCTTCCAGAGCTTTACTTTAAAATTCAGTCATAGTGCATTTTGTTTCGCGTGTTTGTTAACGATACATCAACCATCGCCGATGCAAGCTCCCAAGGAGGGGTCGGCACCAGGCTAGACCTGATAACACGCCTAAAGCCTAGGCTACTTTCGTCCAGGAGCTCTCGAATTCGTAGGCAAAAAGAAGCTTGTCGTAAGCGTCGCTGTTGAAGGAGGTTTAGCATGCTACGCAAGAACACAGCAAGTCGAATGATCTGGGAGCTACGACAGCCCACACGCGTGGCGCAGTCCCAGGATTTGTGCCTGCACATTGCTATTTGAGGCTTGTGAGCCTCCACCAGAAGACTTCGAAAGGGTGGGCGGTTTGCGGCAAGCCCCTATATCGATACGGGGCTCGGCGTAGTGAACCGTGTTTAGGGTGCGTTTGGTTAAGTCTCATGCACCATCGCAGCTAAAGCAACCATAGTCAGATTTGGAACGGATGAGGGAGCGGTAGAGAAGTAAAAGAGCACTCCCGTCCACACCGTACGACGTACGTCCTTCGCACTTCAGTATGCTCATGGATTTGAGACATTTGTCTCTTAGGTTTTACTATGCTCTCGGTACGTTAAGCGTCGATAAAGCTGCATACCGAGGAATTTCATCGCACGTCACCGCAGAGGAAGCCGCGTCCGGCGCTTGGTCTGTTTCCTAGAGACAAATAGCCGCCGGACAGGTCTGTTTAAAACTGCCTGCAGGTGCTGGCTAATGGACTTTAAACCCGTATAGTTCCATTGCAAAACTGACTAAATTTAGTTACATTAAGTTATAACAGCAAAATCTCAGAAGTCAGCAGCACCGTTAATCGGCGTCAGGTGGTCGGCTCCTTCAGAAAGATACGCTCCCATCGGAACCGGACGGATACTGGAGCGGACCCGAGGGATACCGCCATCTGTCAGCGATGTGGGCCAAGGCGGGCCACGCTTCTCCGCGCGCCCCGTTCCTACACACGGACTGCACGGGAGCAACGGCCCGGGGTGATGGAGATTGAGGAGAACCCACGATTGGGTTTCTTCGAGAATTGGAGGAGTGAGCCTCCACACGCCTTCTTGGCGGTGGGACAAACTCCCCGGCCGTCTTTTCCCCGCTCCTGGTTGACCAGGCGCGCCTGCTTGGTCTCACGGGCGCGCCTGCCCGTTTCGTGACGTTCCCGTGTCTTCAACGCTCGTACACAGACACTCGTCAAGGTTGACTTTCCAATGGAATCAACCGGTGCATGAACGGTCGGCGGCGACGAAGGCTTCGGCCGCCGTCCAGTCACCGTCTCATGCCGCCGCCGACAAAACCTCCGGAGGGCGGCGAGTCGGCAACACAGTTTCCACCCACTGTCCCGACGGCGAGGGGGGTGTCTGGGCCACCGATCGGGAGTGTGGAGCAGTGCTCCTAATAATAATAATCACTTCACAGAAACCAGAAAAGCGACGGGCGCGTGCTAAGGCCAAAGTTGCGCAATGGTTGCGTAAAAGGCTATCAGAGAATTGAGGTGGTGTTAAACAACATATCGGAGAGATATGTTCCGATGACCTTAAGAGCAGGGGTCCCCCTGAGTCAGTTGTGATACAGCGATGGTCTGACCAGCTCTCGTGTGATTTGCGTCATATATGGTAAGTGCTAGGTACTTACGTCGCGTAAGTACCTAGCACTGATGTCAGAGTACTTACGTGAACGTGCCGGATGACCATGGTAATCGCTGGATCAGTGGTCAATTTCCACCACACCGTCGTAAAGCGTCCCCCTGAGGACTATCAATTACAGGTAGACTCACCTCGGCCGGCACGACCTGCACAAGTCAAAGTAATGACCCAGGCCGCAGGGCACGACCTCGCACAGGTCGAGATAATGGTCCAGGCCGCAGGGCACGGCGTTGATCCGCTGTGGCTCGGAGACTGGCGCCGCCACTGTTCAACCAGTGATGCATTCGGATCGGGTCCTGATGGCGTGACAAGGGTCGCGTAAGGAAGGAATAGATGCTTCGCTGTATTGGGAGAGACCTTATAAATTAGTTCTAATACATTATGAACCATTTCATGCAACAAGTAAAAGTTCTTTATAACCCATTCCTTTATGGTAGAAGTGGTAGGTAGAAGACAGCAATGGACGGCAATTGCTGTCTTCTACATATGGAAGAAGACAGCAATGTCCCTGAGGATGCGAATCTAAAGCCAAATAACCCTATCTGGCGATTGTCGTCTCAACCAGTCGGTCTCAACCCCCCGCCTCCAGTCGGCCTCAACAACCACTCCCCTAGCCTGTCGGCCTCAGCCACTCTCTAACTAGTGGGCCTTAGCCCCCCCCCCCCCCCAGCTCCTAACCAGTCGGCTTCACCCTCTCCTCCTAACGAGTCGGTCTCACCCCCCCCCCCCCCCCCCCTACACAACCAGCTGGCCTCAGCCCCGTTCCCTAACCAGTTTGCCTCCGCAACCTCCTAACGAGTCAATCTACGAATCCCCAAAACAGTTGTCCTGCCGCGCCCCCCCCCCCCCCAACCAGTCGGCCTCCGTACCCTTCAACAGTCGGCCCCAGTTCCCCGTCCCTAACCAGTCGGCCTCTGTACCCTCCAACAGTCGGCCTCAGTTCCCCGTCCCTAATCAGTCGGCCTACGTACCCTTCAACAGTCGGCCTCAGTTCCCCGTCCCTAACCAGTCGGCCTCCGTACCCTCCAACAGTCGGCCTCAGTTCCCCGTCCCTAATCAGTCGGCCTCCGTACCCTTCAACAGTCGGCCTCAGTTCCCCGTCCCTAATCAGTCGTCCTCCGTACCCTCCAACAGTCGGCCTCAGTTCCCCGTCCCTAACCAGTCGGCCTCCGTACCCTCCAACAGTCGGCCTCAGTTCCCCGTCCCTAACCAGTCGGCCTCCGTACCCTCCAACAGTCGGCCTCAGTTCCCGTCCCTAACCAGTCGGCCTCTGTACCCTCCAACAGTCGGCCTCAGTTCCCCGTCCCTAATCAGTCGTCCTCCGTACCCTCCAACAGTCGGCCTCAGTTCCCCGTCCCTAACCAGTCGGCCTCTGCACCGTCTACGCAGTCGGCCTCAGTTCCCGTCCCTAACCAGTCGGCCTCTGCACCGTCTACGCAGTCGGCCTCAGTTCCCGTCCCTAACCAGTCGGCCTCTGCACCGTCTACGCAGTCGGCCTCAGCCCCCCCCCCCCCCCCTCCCTCTGACCGCGGGTTTGTATGCCTGGACAGGGCCGGACGTCAGTGAAGAAGAGCTGCTACTCGCCGCTGTGGAACCAACAGATCGTCTTCACCGAGATGTTCCCTCCGCTCTGCCAGCGCATCAAGATCCAGCTGAAGGACATGGACACCGTCAACGACACGCTCATCGGCACACACTTCCTCGACCTCAATACCATCAGCAACGACGGCGAAAAGGGTACGGAGGGGCTGTCTTAAGGCAACGACCTATAACTGAATATTTCCGGTCACCAATCAGTGCGGGAGATGATGGTGTTCGGCTGTATTAGTCACAAGACCTTGCACAGTCCGACAGTCGTAGCACGCTTCAGTCTTAACGAACAGATATTAAGGTGAAGACACTTAAGATTGGTATCCATTATGCGCGCATACATACAGCCGCTGCCTACATGCATACGCTTCAGTCTTAACCAACATATATTAAGGTTAAGACGCTTAAGATTAGTATCCATTTTGCGCGCATACATGCAGCTGCTGTCTACATGCATACAGCAGCTATGCTATTGTACGGCACATCTGGTTTCAGGTTTTCTCCCTACCTTCGGACCTGCTTTTGTTCACTTGTATGGTTCTACTCGCGACTACATGTTCCCGGGATTCGACGAGCATTCATCACTCAATAACGGAATAGGTGAGAAGCAAACTGATGGGGCTATGTGGCGCCGCCTGCCTCTCACCCCGACGGGGAAGGCGGGCACAGCGGGGTTTCGAACCCCGTACCTCCGCCTTCCCGGACAAACAGTGGTTACGCAGATGCGTTATCCACAACACTATTGACTCCCTAAGCGCCGTTAACCAAAGCGCTTCGGCCAAAGGCTTGTACGTGTAATGTACACATACCCTAGCATGCTTCGCTCGAATTTCCCACCATGGGACTCTGGCCGCCCAAATTTTGTCCGTTGAAGGCACTTCCTATTCGAAGTATCATATTCAAACCAGGCTTTCCCTCAGGATTTAGTTTGACTCCTCCAATCCTGCTTTGTCCTCCAGTCTCAGAGGTAGGGCTACACCCATGGCCACAATGAAAATATGGCGTTCTTGCCTCTCATAGGGCTTGCGCTAAGGCCAACACTGCAACAATTTTTCACCGTGAAGAAAACAACGTCGAAAAAGCATGAGATCAGTCAGGCGACCTTGCCACCGTTTTTCATCTGTTCTGCTCTCGTTTACTGCGTCGCAACACAAGGCGCACGTTACGAGTACCTCGACTCAGGGATGGATGGGCCTGCGGGAGCCCGGAAAGCACGGTCGATCCCGTTCCCCCTCCGTCCCGAAGGCCAGTCTGAGGTCATCAGGCTCGGACATCCGTCCAATCAGCCCGCTTCGCCATATATGTGCGGTAGGGACTCTGAACCCATTCATTCTGAGGGTTTATAGTGGCTGGAATGGTTTCCGGCTCAGCGTCCCTGACATCGGTCACTTCCATTGCCAACCAGGGCCTGGTAGAAGCTAGTGGACGTGCCCCGGACAGTGACGAAAGAAGCGCTTGTGCGTCGGCTGGTGACGATCACAGTTTCAAATCAACGGGCGCGCCAGTCTCTGCATTTCTTATCAGTCCATACATGAAATATTTGCTTTATACGAAGTAACGCGCATGCAGTTTACTTCCCCTTGTTAGTTTGTTGGATGAATGGGTCGGTTAGCTATGACTGGTTGGATTGCCGTTCGCCTGCAGAATGCTGGCAAGTCCCTGCTGTCCGTAACAGGACTGACGCGCTCATGCCAGTACGGAAGAACGATGCTGGTACCAGCCCATGCCCCAGACGTGCTGATGACTCAGCGTGCCTGACCGTCCTGACGGAGCTGGCTGTAAATGTTGAAAACGTTGTGAGTGATAGGAAACCTTACGTCGCATGTACGTTTTTCATTTGGCTTAAAAAGAACATTCTTTTGCGGAGCATACAGACGTTGGGTGACTGGAAGCAGGGTGCCTGCTAAACGAGGCTTGGATGAATGGCTCGTGTGAGCTTCTCACACCCCACGAGTTGCGAGAATCATGATAATATTACGCTAGCTTGCCAGTCCAAAAGTACTGAGGAATATTTATCGTACTGTATCGAATATTGCGTCCCTGTGCTAGCCGTCCATGGGTAATGCCTCTGTCGCCACGATCGGCTGTGACAGAAGCTATTATGAAACGGCATGCACAACTACAGCAAGAGTCTGCTGACGATTGCGATAACACTCGCCGTGTCTCTCCAAGCTGGCCCACACACCGATCTGATAGCAGCTTCCCGCTCTCGGTGTTGCGTGACTCACCATATGTGTTTAAAAACGATCAAATCATTTGTTAAGTGGCCCACATCACCATCCATAATCGTGCAAGGGTGCACGTATATCTAAATACATCAGCCATTGCGGTTCGCCGTTCTTTCTCTTCCTTTCTCTGTCCATATGTCCGCCTATCGCCGCTATTCCCAGCACAGACTACGCACAGCCCGTTGTCATTTGGCACGCAATGACACGCACAGATGACAACACACACACACACACACACACACACAACACACAACACACACACACACACACACACACACACACAACACACACACACACACACACACACACACACACACAACACACACACACACACACACACCACACACACCACACACACACACACACACAGACACACACACACCCACACACACACACACACACACACACACACAGACAGACACACACACACAAACACACACCACACACACACACATTCACACACACACACACACCACACACCACACCCACACACACAAACATGCACACACACGCACGCACACACACACGCACGCACGCACGCACGCACGCACGCACGCACTCACGCACGCACTCACGCACGCAGCACGCAACGCACGCACTCACGCACGCAACGCACACACACACACACACACACCAAACACACCACAAACACCTACACACCACAACACACACACACACACACACTACAGATGCATTTAACTTTACGAGCATTGTAGTAATATCGCCCACGGCTGCCAGCTCCGGCGCCGCTCTCCTGCAGGAGTGCCCCTCCCCCCCCCCCCCCCCCCCCCCTGTTCGTCCCGTCGCGCCACCAATTGGTTCGCTGCCACATTTCGCTGCTGGTTGCATGTAAAGACGTGGTTATTTGGATTAGGGCCCTTTTGACCTGTGGTGATGATTTCAGTGCCATGGGATGAATAAAAATGGGTGACGGTTAGGCGGGACTACATGCGCCTAGGGATTAGGACTGCATGCGCCCGAGGACCCACTCGAGACAAAGCCCGCGCAGGGATCCCTCTGCGGGGCGTGCACTTGGCCTTCGGACGGAGGCCTCCACCATGGGGCCCTTCAGTCCATTTGTGGCTGGCGCATGCAGCCTGCCGCGACAAGCAGGATGTTTGCCAGGATGCCAGGAATTGCGCAGGGAAGATAATACAACGGCGGATGGTCGAAAGCGAGCCGCGTTTCACCATCAAATAACTTAAGAATAGGGCCTCAACCAAAATGGTCTATGCACGTAAGAAAGATTCTGTCACGAAAAATGTACAAGAAGACCGCGAGGTAAAGGTTAAAACACGTGCGCATACACTCGCACGTTGGGTTCACACGCATAACCAACCGCCACCTTGCAGTGTGTGTTGAGGTATCGGAAGTGTGCCACGCCGTTCGCTACAGCGGCAACTCTGATGCGGCAATTCGGGCAGCGGATCTGACATCACAAATACGTTCCATGACGTCATAATACGATGACGTGATGGACACCATGTTTTTGTAAGACGTGTAATCTTGGTATTTCAAGCAGTTTGCACATAATAGCCTACAACTAGTTACAGGTGAGCTTTTTCATCACACCTTATGCTTGTCCCAGATCTTCAAATTTGAAGGTTTCTTGAATTTGTGATGCTAGTATTTCAGTATAACTTAATTTGCACCTTCGCAAAATTTTCTCAACGATGCTATTTGTCCAAATAATAATTCACCGAAAGAACAGCACCACAACTGACAGCTCCAGTCTGAATCTCGCGGCCGTGGTCTACGCGCGTGCGACGTTCTGATTTGTATGCCACTCTTACGTCAGGTCACGTGGCTTGTAACGTCGTCAACGAATGTTATCCTCACCGAATTACGACCGTTCCAGATCCTTCTCTGTGTCTGTCTTACTCCCCCTCCTCCTCCCCCAAAGGCTTTTTCACATACTCGCTCTGCTCACTCCCTCCTACTTCCTGCTTGTAATTGACATCCTTGACACTCACATGCCATTGACCACACATTCTTTTCTGGAAAACAAAATCGGGGACTTTACTTCCGATTTTCATTGGAAGATCCGGCTGGCGCGATCTCTGACAGTCAATCGTTTCCGTCTCACGTCTGGCCTGGCTACCGCGCCATCTGGCGGCGCCGGCTGGAGGACCGTGCTCGCCGCCGCGCCTCGGCTGGAGGGCCGTGCTCGCCGCCGCGCCTCGGCTGGAGGGCCGTGCTCGCCACCACGCCTCGGCTGGAGGGCCGTGCTCGCCGCCGCGCCTCGACGCGCTCCACCGACTGTCCCGGATCCGTGGCCGCCGCTAGCGACGCTCGGGGCGCGACGCTTACGTCTTGTGGCGCGCCGTGCTGCGGGCGTTCCGGGAAGGCGGTGAGTGGCCGGGTCAAGCCGGCGCTGACCGCCGCAGCCGCGCCGAACCTGCTTCGCTGGCAGCTTTGCGGATCAGTGCGTCGTGGATAGGCCCGGCGTCACTGAGGACGAATGAGGCCGGGGTAATTTGGCTTGGCCGCACGGCTGCCCCGGCCCAGCGTCTCAGTCGCGAGTTGCCTGCTATTGATGCCTTTGCATCCCTCGCACCCAGACACACCATGGCAATGGTGACGTTTGAAATGGGCCATGCTATTTAATGTTCTATAAACCTAAGTATTTTCTGGTGTAGTGAGCTCCGCTTTGAGAATCTCGCGCTGAGCCTAAGGTGCATCTGTGAAGATTTTATGTAAGCTTCGTAGAGATCTGTAGTGATCTTCAGCTGAGAGCCCCGGGGTTAGAACCTGAGAGCCTCAATATCGGCTTATTTTTGTTTTTTTGCAAAGTCAAGATCCTTTGATATATCTGCTCGAGAGCCAACACCAAGAATCCTCAGATGTCAAGATCGTCTCCCGTCTTGATGGATATGACAAAGTTAGGATTCTTCCAAAACGAACCGTGTAATAATCGACATATGTGGTCGGATTTAGACAGGCACTGACAGAATCCAACGGCCCGATATCACCTTGGAGGGTTTTCAGTGCAGGATGTATCTACTAGAAACATGGGCGTATGTAAATAGTGGGGCAAGTGACCCCCCTTTTCAAATATAGGACATCTGTTAATACCTATGTTTCTGAACGTTGACAGTCATATGTGAACACAAAATATTGAGAACATGCGATGTTTCCTCACGACACACAAACACTGCGCGCTTGCACACGCTTAGCTCAGTTCTCAGTAAAGATTTGGAGTTTTGCCTTCCCTTCCCCCTGTGGTCCCCGTGTGGGCTAGGTCTCGGCGGGTGGGCTCCCAGATGCATGCGGTCCTGTTCCACCATTACCCATTCTTCTCCATTCCATGGCCCTGAAATGGTCTCCACTGGTCAAAAGGGCTGTAATCCAAAGCGCGAAATAATCAAATCG